TGGAAGTTAATTCCAGGAAGAGTGTGTTCATGCACATCGGGCACGATATTAGTTACCACTATACCATTAATGGTACATCTCTGCCACGCGTTCATGCGCATAAAGACTTAGGAGTAATTATAAGTCACGACTTAAAAACTACTACGCACTGCAATGCGGTTGCTTCCAAAGGCTATCGTGCGCTATGGTCGCTTCGCAGAGCATTTAAATGCTTTGACGAGGATATGTTTCGAATTTTATATCCCACCCATCTAAGGCCACACTTAAAATACTGTATCCAAGCAGCTAGCCCTTGTCTGATAAAGGATACTAAATCGCTTGAGCGTCTCCAGCGTGTAGGGACAAAATTAGTAGAGGGTCTTTCCAAACTCCCTTACGATGAGCGTTTAAAACGTCTAAATCTTTTCCCCTTATCTTATCGTAGGACGCGAGGTGACCTTATACTGGCATTTCGTATCTTTAATTATGATCTGGGTGTTAATATGTCTTATCTTTTTGCTCCCTCCAGCACTAATAATCTCCGGGGTCATAGCAAGAAGGTTCTGAAACCGCGATCTAATAAACTAAAGGTGGGGTCCCGTTTTTCTCATCGAGTGGTCAATGACTGGAACGCATTACCATAACAAGTGGTATCAGCACTATCAGTGAGCATTTTCAAGAAGAAGCTGGACTTTCACTGGAAGGTAGTCTGTCAGGACTAACAGTTTCATTAACCTACTATCCTTATTACTGAAGACTTTGCAATTTCGGTTCTGATATGTATTCGCGCTACCCCCAACAATCGTTAAACCAAATAAGTACTAACAGATGAAAATATTCTTTATTCTTAATAGCCGTTATTTTTTACTGTTACTTAAAGAGCTTGAGGATACCACGGATATTCTAGTTTAGCAGCTAGCAACCAGTAGTATCTTCTATAATCGTTCTTTCTTCAGTCGAATAAAAACCAGAAGTCAGATGAGAAGAGGTAGGAAAGATATACTTGATGCTTTACCAATATATCGAGGAACCTTTACTATAAGCTGGCTAATGAACGTAGGAGCCGTGTCCCACGCCGTGTTGAAACGTGATCTGGTACGGATGCATGACCGAAAGCCTTCAGCTAAACAAGTCCACTTAAACAACGTGGTCAGCAGCCAATGTCGAACACTTAATGAGCTATTGATTTTGCGGAATTATTTACAGCTACAAGCTATTTTGTACTCAAATCATTTTCAATGTGGTCTTCAATTTTGACAGTGATGATTAGCAAGTGATTTGTGGTATGCAATATGAATGTCAGTCTTGTGAATACTCTTTACTGCCATAGATATTGCAGTAACTGTTAACACTTTTCAAGAGGAATTTTTGCAATATTTAGATTTTTTAAAAACTAGAGCGAGCTCATATATATGGGTTGCAAACAAGCAATATTGATGAGGACAGTATCGCAAATGAAAGCTGAGACTTTAGGTGCTGAAGCAAACAACAGTAAACAGAAATTGAAAATTTACAGCTCTATTGACCCAGTAACACCTATTTGGGAATAATTTATTAGTTATTAGTAAAGGGATACCACTGCTTCTTTTTATTCTCTCGACGCATGCTAGTAATCTTTATGTGCAACTACGGTTATTGTATCCTGACTGACGATTCATTATCTAGCTGTAGCAGCCTTACAAAAATTTTGAACCTTTTACTTAAGTATTTTATGACGGGGTATTAATAACAAGATGGGTGGAAATAAAAGTACTGATCTGGATCGAGTCCGTTAAGAGATAAACGATATAGTTGTCTTTTGGAATGAGAATTTCAACATTTTTCAGTCGTCTTCGCCCGACTCATCCACACTGAGATAGCAAAGCTTTTGATTGTCCTTAAAATTGACTAACGGGTTGTGGAACGATGCGCAGGAAAATAACACTGTTTGTTCTGAACTTGATGTATAATACAGTGTTAACGCAATTTAGCCGATAAGAAGTTAAAATGTTGTTTCAACGTGGTGGCTCACTTTCCGATATACGTTTACTCACTAAAGTCCAGGTAAAGGTAAGTTATCAGCAACACAAATTTGACGAGGACAAAGCCTCCTTGTAGTCAGCAACCCTTGTAGTGAACAGAACACTGGTTGGGGACAATCGAATGTATTTAAGCAAAGATTACAGACTATCTCAGTAAATTCTGATAACCAAACAATGAACAGTCAATTTGCAAATTAACAACCAATTGTTTCAATCTTCACTGTTTCTTCTCTTATTCCATTGCTCATGCATTTTCCAAACGATTGCGCTTCATTTCAGTTATTTACTCATCGGTCTTCTGCCAAAATACATTCTATGTCTAACCCACACCATATACTACTTATATGGATATAAGTAGACCACACCACACCCTTATCTAGATTTGCGCTTTCACAATAGTTATCTAACTTTCGACTTCATTGAGTGTCTCTGATATACTTGACTACAGGTGAAAGTCATCTGAAACACGTAATATTATGTTTCCCACTTACGTTTTATAACCTTATTACTTATAGTGGTAGTGTGTTCTGCAACGATGGAGACAAAACCCATATTTATGATAAGACCAACGTGTATGAGAACACTAATCGAACATATCAATTTTTGAACTATTTCGATGGACAATACGAATCACAAGAGAGAAAAATAACAGCTGTCACTTTATGGTAACAATGTAAATTGCATCAAAACAGTGACTTCGACTATAGTTAAAGCAATAAGAATGTAGACGGCTTTATAAACCCAACTCTGATTGAAATGGCGACAATAATTATACAGAATTTGCGGCAAAAATATTCTACCTGTCTATTGTTCACAAAACTAACGTGGGAACTGTGTTTTGTGCAAGCAAATATCACCATGCAAGCTTCCAGTGGACTATACAGAACGGAAGCAAGGGTATTCAAACGTGAGGAAATTCACTCAGTTTGTGGATTTCCCCTACATTTTCGCCTTGTGGGGAGTAGTGTAACGTCGTGTACTATATTACACCTACATAGCTTATTCTAGTTTCTGGACAAGCCAATTCACCTATAACGTTATGAGTCATGTTTTGATCTTGTTAATTATTCGCTTATTGACCTTGACTATTTTTTTTATATGAGCGTATGTGTATGCACACTTCTTATCCTACCTATCACATGTCTGTCATTCATTTTAGTCTGACTATAAATGTTGATTAATGCTTGCTTATAACGAGTTGGCTTCCCAGCCATCTCCACTCTGCGTCATCTTTCCTTCGCTTGCTTACATTTGCTAATGTGCTCACTGCCTTCTAGCCCATGTTATTTATCAATAAAAATGTAGTTGCTGCTTCCCTTTGTCTTCTGATATTATACACCGTTCAGATTGTTATAATAACGGTTATCAAGACGATCGATTAACGAAGCACTACACTACAGCCTCAACCATAAACGTTTGACTCAGTCCATCTTGAGAAATCGTACTAGATTTGAATAAAAATAAAGGAAATTCCAAGCTGTGCTGTTTTTTGAGGAAGAATAGTCCACGACATTTGTATTGCTCTATTAGGACAGAGTAGTCACACTCTCAGTATGCATGACCACAGACCAAGCTGTTAAGTGAACACCGTAGATCGACTTGTGTCAATGTATGTGCACAACTATGTACACGATTTCGACTGGAAAGAACATCAAAATATTAGCAAAAGAAACACGCCGCCCGGGTTCTAGAAGTCAGGTGACGCAATGATCCACACACACCAGAATGGAAAGAAAGACAGCATATAAATTACCAGTGTAAGGATTGAACAACGGCTACGCATTAAACAGTCAATATCTTTGATCTACAGAAACTGCTCGTCGGCAGAGGAATGCTAACGAATCGCTTTATATTGGTGTGTAACGAAGACGTTTTCTATAAGAATAGATGGAAAACACTACACCTCAAACCTAAATACCAAGATAATACTGACTCGACAGGTCTTCCCTCGTTCGAAAATGGGAGAACTTGACTCAGCATGCCTTCACAAAAGCGATATTACACTTTATCTTTGTATCTCTATGCCAGAATATTTTATCAGAAAGTATCACACATACAAGTAAACAACACCCCAATGATACAGGATATAGTCAGTCAGCTGCAACATAGGACCAGGCACATATATGCATCGGTCCACTTCACCATACCTCGTCTGCACAACAAGATGAACACCAAATTCATAGTAGTTAATTTAGTGGTGGTAATATGTAAAATAGAGATTGTATATAAGGATATAATACAGGAAGAAAGACAGATATGAAGCAATTTTAATATCATAGCTTAAAGGAAGACAAAGAGTGTATACACCTGTGTCATTGTGATCGATTCTGAGACATGTCACACAGAGTCTTCAACCATTGGTTACGATAGTTACGCGGACCTCAACTAAGTAGTCTGCCATAACCAACATGGCCCAGACTAGACGTTAGTGACTTCAAGCACTGATGCCATGTTTTGGCTGTCCCTAACTCTCCTCCAACCATCCCCAATACTAGTCATCATTGCGCGTCGTGGTAATCGGTGTTCAGGCATACGTAACACGTGGTCCAACCATCTCAGTCGATGAAGATTCACAACCTCATAAACTGATTTAACATCATTTCCTAATACCATGTGTCTAACTTCACTATTACTTACCCAGTGATCTACTCTTAATGTCCACGTTTCGCAGTCGTAAGTTAGAACAGAGAGAACCACTGAGCAGTATACTCGTCCCATAATTGATCGACGGATATCTCGTATTCGTCATAACAGGATATACTAAAGCAAGGCTGAAGATTAGTAGTCCAATCAATAATCAACAACGGAAACTATGGGATTTGCAAATACGATGATGATATGATCAACCAAATTGAAAATGCTGGAAGACATAAGTTCACTCGATCTTCCATATTAAAACATCTAGGATTTGAATATCACAGCATAAACGCTATTTGAATAACGATCTCATGTAACGGTAAATATTGTTAACACAAAGTTCGCTCTATATCCAAACGTTCGCAGAAAAATATTTTGAACTCCCTATATCTAACTTATGATTCTTGTGAACGTCCATTAGTCGTGTTTATACTGGAAGAGTTATGCGGTGTGCAATGGTGAGTAGATTAGTAGCCATGCATTGAGGTGAGGAGAATGTCGTTTTACAAGAAAGAATACGGATTTGACATACATAAGGCTGGTGCCTAAACTACATTTAGAATAAGTTCTCGTCAAGTTCAATTTTATTTACAATAGAATAATGTTCAAGGAGATGATGGTTCTGACAAAAATCGTCTTTTAAAAGTGGTATTCATATAAGGTCGATAAACCCATTCAAAATCTGCTGTGGCTTCTTCGTGTAACGGTCCACGCCAAATTTTATACACTGTAAGTAAAATAAAAATATACCACCCGTGAAGTTAAATACCTTTAATTATTGAATATAAATTTATTTGATGAAATCTGAGTAAGGAACAAAAGTAACAACAAAATTGTGACTTATTGAGCAGGGGCTTCTTAATAAAGTGCTTTTTCTTAAAACATAAAACAGTAACCTTGTTTATGAAAAGAAATCAGTAACACCTAGCCAAGATTTTCCAGAAGCAAGCCGATTATTTTATTGCAAAAAAATGGATAAAGTCAACACTAAATGAGTGGCGGCTGTTGAAAATCGAGACTGTATACAAATCATTTACTGTCATAATTGAATAATTTGCAATTAGTTTACAGTTCGTTCACATTAGTTCTATCAACTGAAGATTAAGTAAAACAAATTTATTTAAAATCGGTATGACAGCAAAAGTTATTATTGGATTTCAGAAACAGAACGATATTCTGAGAACTAACACAATGTTTAAGATCGAACAAATAAAAGCAACTTAAAAGACCCTTAACTTCACTCTATCGCTTTTTATATAGGGTGATACATTTTTCGAACTGTTTATCATTGTTCGCTTTACACACGATCATTGAATTCGTGATTTTCATAAATTTAAACGATGAATACAGCAACTCAATTTCTATGAACGGGTCAAAGCTATTGGATAGTTTACTGACTTCAGCATTTGAATACTATGGACATATATGAACTTTCAGAATGATGGATGTGTTTTGGTTTCTAATATTTCCTTGATTAGTTAATCAAGTGAGCGCAAACTGTGATATGTACTGAATGACAGCGATAGATTTCTAGGGGAAGATTGAAGCACAGAAAACAGCATATGAGAAAAAAATCAGGCTTGACAGCAAGATCTATTAGCGAATGAAGCACAAAGCTCATACCCTCTCAACTGTTTGTTTTTCGAGTCATATTTAAGTGTTGAATATTTTGTATATAATGATGACATTTTACTATTAAAAACCGATCTATCATACTGATATGATTTCAGTGTCTAAGGACGCTTGTATCAATAATTTAGGATCATGAACAGTTAACATATCGTATCGATGTAAAGGATCTATCCAACGAAGTTCTATCTATTATTTCAACAGCCCGATAAAGACACTGTTTATCACATCCTTTAATCTTTCCTCTGTATCACAAGATCATGCAATATACCATACTTACAACGTAAATCGAATGAGGGCCCATGCTCGGTTAGTTCCAATTTTTTGTCCACATATTTATATGTGTGGTGTCTTCAAATAAAAAAAAACAATGAATCATAATTAATAACAATCTCATTATAATATAATTGAAAGAGATAATAACACACTGCAATTATGAAGTGGGGTTTTACGACCTGAGATTTGATAAAAGCATTTTCATGTCATGACTTTTAATGTTTTTAAGTTAGTGAAGTAGTACTGACCCCTAGTAAAATCGTTCTACAATAAATAACGAATTCCTTTATTAAGAGACTTACTAGGGGTTAAAGTATGTCTACTGACTCCTAAGCGTTAATAAAAATCAAAAGCCGAATCTGCGGCAGATTGTCCTCAATAAATGAGGTGATTTTACTGACCCTATTTAAAAATAATTTAACGCTGCCCTACAAGTTGTTAGGCATTTTATGGAGCGTACTACAGAAGTTCGGAAATCTCGCTATCAAATCAAAACAAGGTCAAAGAGTCGATGGATTTTTTACCCGCCATGTAAATGTACGTATGTTAAGTACTTATTGTTAAGTCGGTTTCCAGAGAACTCCAACAGAGCCTCCAGAGGCTCTAAAAGAGCTCCAACCAATCAGAGCACGACAGAACATTCTGGAGTTCCAACGTGGCATGCTACCATTGGTCAGTAGCAATATATGTCGTTTATTGGATTGGCTGAATTAGGATGTTGATTTAACTTAAGCAAACATCTATAAATACTTACGATTTTTCTGTACAAAACTGAACCTTGTAATAAAGCATCTTCTCGCTACTCGTGTCTTCTCTCTGGTCTTCAAGTTGCTGAGTATTGCTAGCCTGGGGTTGTCCGAATAGCTTAGGATCTGAATATAGCGTTCAACCCACAAGACATATCAGTGGCGACGGGGAAAAACTACAAGACATATCACTGGCGACGAGAAAAAAAAATGACAATGAGTATTTCTTTAGAGCAATTTGAAGCTTATATGGAGCGTCAAGAAAAACGGTTTGAACAGTCTCAAATCAGAGTCATGGAAGCTCTTATGCAGAAATTATGTATGTCTCAACAAAACTCTGCTGCTGGTGAATTTCAAGTATCTCATACTGACTCAGTTATTAACGCAATCCATGAATTTAATTTTGATGGTGCAGCAGGTGTCACTTTTAACTCTTGGTTTAAGAAGTATGAAGATTTGTTTCATATTGATCTCTGCAGACTGGATGACGCTTCAAAAGTCAGAATACTTCTAAGAAAGCTTGGGACAACAGAACATGAACGCTATAGTAACTTTATTCTCCCGAAGAACCCACGAGACTTTAGTTTTGATGAAACGATTCAAACCCTGTCTCAAATCTTTGGAGAACAGTCGTCTCTATTTAATATCCGTTACCAGTGCTTGAAGATAACGAAAGAATCAGGAGATGACTGGGTGAAACATTCAGGTATTGTGAACCGAGAATGCGAGAGGTTCAATTTGTCTTCCATGTCTGAAGACCAGTTTAAATGCTTAGTATTTGTCTGTAGCCTGCGTTCACCTGAGGATGCTGACATCCGAACGAGAATCCTAAGCAAACTTGAGCATTGTCCCAACATGACCCTGCAGGAAGTGACTAATGAATGTCAAAGGTTAGTGAATTTGAAGCACGATACCTCGATGGTAGAAAACACTAACCAGTTCCTCCACGTTAATGCTGTTGAGAGGAAAGTCGAGCAAGGTTCCAGTATACAGAATTACCGAAATGACTGAGGTAAACCATCATCCCCATGCTGGTTATGCGGAGGTTGGCATTTCAAAAGGTTTTGTCTGTTTAAAAGTCATCGTTGTACTACGTGTTCCAGGAAAGGACACAAAGAAAGTCATTGCAAAACCCGTAAACGTCGTCAACCTAAAGTTTATTCTAAAAGATTCAAGCCACGCACAGCCAAGGTGACGGTAGCTGCTAACAGAATCGGCTCCCATAATCGTAGAAAGTATGTTTCCCTCAAGATTAACGGGTACGATGCCCGCTTACAGCTAGACACAGCCTCCGATATAACGCTTATAAGCAGGAGGACGTGGGAGAAAATTGGGAGGCCGAGAATATTTTCAACCTATCAGACAGCACACGGCGCATCTGGGGGGATTATAGACATTGCTGGTGAGGTTCACTGTAAAATCACAGTCGCAGAGCTTACAAAGAAGGGAGTAATATTTTTAACAGAACGACCAGCACTCGACTTATTGGGACTTAATTGGATAGAAAAATTGAAATTATTAGATCGTCCCATAAATTCATTCTGCAACAACGGCACTATGTCGAAAGTTGGGGACCCAACATTGTTTCGTGGGGGAGGTTGAAGTCAGCAAATGCAGTCTGGATACCTACCCCGCTTCTTCAAAAAAGGGGAGGTGTTAAGTCGGTTTCCAGAGAACTCCAACAGAGCCTCCAGAGGCTCTAAAAGAGCTCCAACCAATCAGAGCACGACAGAACATTCTGGAGTTCCAACGTGGCATGCTACCATTGGTCAGTAGCAATATATGTCGTTTATTGGATTGGCTGAATTAGGATGTTGATTTAACTTAAGCAAACATCTATAAATACTTACGATTTTTCTGTACAAAACTGAACCTTGTAATAAAGCATCTTCTCGCTACTCGTGTCTTCTCTCTGGTCTTCAAGTTGCTGAGTATTGCTAGCCTGGGGTTGTCCGAATAGCTTAGGATCTGAATATAGCGTTCAACCCACAAGACATATCACTTATACGACCTCAAATTACTTGATCGTTAGTAGAGGCCAGCGAATGAATGATATAAGCATAGCCTTAGTATTACGAAAAAACCCTGAAACATCGGTTACACAAACTGAATTAGGCTAGCAGGGTCAGGACCCGACTTAATTCTAGAGCGAATAAAATATACACCGTATGAAAATTATCTGTTCATGAAGCTAACAGAAATGTACTTTAGAACGTCATCCATAGAAATTTTGAACATGGACATTCTTAATATCAGAGGAAACATTCGTCAAAATAGAACCATATATGAAATTCACGCAATAGGAGAATGGTTTTCAATCTTATCCTTAAATTATCAATTAGCTAAATTACGATAAAGTAGAATAACAATAGAATATTCAATTTAGATCTGTTCTAAGTAGTAAACAGAAGTATGGTTCAGTCAGTGACAATAGGAAAAACTCCAAAACAGGTTTTATTACACATTATGCATAAAATAATATTATCTTTCATCGTGTTTAAAGCCTATGTTTCAATGTAGTTAATAGTCGTGATAAAATAGATCAATCTTTGCTAATAATAAATCTTTTGGGCGGATACCTAAGTATTACTGGTATTTATACGTTAATTATATTTTAGAAAAGGTGGTTAACAATACTGAATCAACTCCCTTATTAAAGCTAAATCCCGAACAGAAATTTATCAGAACAATCTTGAATTTTAACAACGACAAAACTTAAATAGTTCACAATAAATCCTACATATGCATGCAACTCTTGTTGAATATAGTGGTAAATATGATCATTGAATAGTGAAGAAAATATATGAAGTGGCAGTTAATAAGTTCAACTTTCATGGAAAAAACAACACATGGTTGTAGGTATATCCGACCGGTAAAATGTGAATAGGATTTTTTTAACATGTTTCACGGATTCCACTGCCAACCTACAACTAGAATGTAATCATTACTTTTCAGCTGACAATAACCACCAAGATTTATGAATCAGTTCGGTGCTGTAGATTTACTAATTCAAACCGTAATAAATTCATTACTTTCAATATATACTATAGAATAATGCAATGATGCAATACCAACTAATTAACAATAATTGAAATCAAATTTGGTAATCTTTAAGGCAACAATTTGAATAACATACCATAACCAATTTATAAAGAACAAATTTAAGTACCTACCATTTATCTCATAGTTTACTTTAGGTATAGAAGATTTAGTGACACCTATATGCCAACTACACAAATCAAAGCAGGTGAACAGTACGGTTAGAACATGTTAATATTCAGTAACTAGGGTGTCATAACCACGACGGCATCGCCTCCAGAATAACACTACCACTAAACTTAAAATTTAGAATAGTGATTCACTTCGAAATATGAATTGCTGTGAATCAAGTATTAACTGATACGACTAGATTATCTTCTATCTTTATGGGGTGTTGTGGAGGTTCTTGAATTTCAAGTTTCACATAACAAAATGATTTGGATTAGATAACCACTAAAAAAACAAGAAACACTGAACAGCTGTTATGAGCTAGTACGAGACTCCTCAATAGTGCATATCCACAACCTCCCTCCCGGTTGGGTCATGTGAAACCGATATTTTATATTTTACATGACGTATAAGAAATAGATAATTCCTCTCACTACAAATAATGATTTTTTTAATTTAAAGGTTATTGATGTGATTAATTAATTAATCACATTATTCTGATTGGATATATTTTATAAACGAAACAGTTATTATTTTTCTACGGATACCTGTTATCAGTTCTTTAATAATTATATTTCTATTTGGAAACTGATTCCGTGGACGAATTAGCAGTTAAACCTATCTCAACCATTTCAACGCCAAATCGATGGTGTTGTCATAATAGTTTGGTTTACTGTTTTAAAACGATTCAAGATCGCACGAATAACTACCAAACGAAGATTTTAAAGAATGACTGATGTCAATTTATGAGAATCAGAATTGTTCAAGAGAAACACAATAATTTTACTGACAAATGTCTCCTGAATAATTCATCTGATAACAAGTGACACGTAAAAATGAAAATCACATAATAAACATTCTAACCTGAAACATATGACATCATCTTCTTCGTACCATGTAACCACACGTTTCGAATCATCTTTCGGTACGGGAAATAAATGTTTCAATATACAACGAACACGTTGACCTAAGTTAGAATTTAATCCCTTAAATATATGATTAGGATATGTTTGAGGCATTTTCGCTCCGGTACCACAACCCATAGTTTCCATATCATGACGTGTGCGAACATTGTATAAAGTGAATATAGCAGTTGGACCAAAGGGCAAATGACTAATAATCAAAGTGTCTGGAACGCCACGTGATTCGTTGACAATAACGACATCGGTAATCTGAAATTCTCAAGAAAAATACACATATAAAGGAGAATAAAAACAAGGTTATTTTTTCATATCAATAAATGGTGTATTAACAATGCTTTATGATAAGACTATATGAAATAACTTCGGTTACTACTGCAGATTTGTAATCATTTGCATTTTAACACAGAAATTTTCAGATTTTTTTTATATCGTTTAAATATAATTGTAACAACAACAATGTTCATTTTAAAGATCATTAGCGAATGACAGAAGTCAGAAGCTAGAAGCAACCAGCCAATTCATTTGCACTGAAAAGAATTTGATTAGAAGGATTCATAAGAAATGAAGGCATGATTATAACAACCACTTTTTGACAACATGATACAGCTTTCTTAGTTAACGTAAGCAACGTGAAAAACAAGCATGTAAAAAGTAAGAAAATGGAAACTAGTACTGTTATAATTTTTCTTATTACGATCCAGCTATTCCTATTGCTTAGTATTCTTAGACACCCATTCACTCGACAAGTCCCCAAATCAGAACACGGAAGAAATTATAGTCCTGCTTTTAAACTTAATACCATACTTGAGTCAGCGAAGCGGAAGTCAAGTCCCCCCCTTATTAATACCCTGGCTTCTATATTGTTTTCCTCTCTCTGTGCTAATGCAAGGTGGAGAACGGAATCAGTAAAAATACGTGACAGGTTCTACGTTGAATGAGTGACTGGGGAAAACATACATGTACCTTGGAACGACTGTTGTGACAAAAATAACCCACTAACAAAGACATCCAAAGCAAATGCATCAGATTTATTTTTCTCACCTTCCATCAACTGTAACATCTTTCATCAAAATAATGAACTCGTACAATTGTCAGTAGACTATCTAGGCATTAAAATTCATGGTACATTTTCTTATCCAATAATTAAGATCCTATTCTTATTTCTACAAAGTTTTTGAAACCATAATAACTTTAAGTGTCGATTTCATGTAGATTAAAGTCAGTTATATTAGTTAGAATATATTGCAACCAGGTTAGTGATAAAAATATATTATCACTAAGACCTGTCAGTAAGGAAAATAAGATGAATTAAAAATTCACACACCTGTTTTGCTAAACAAGCTTCCAACAAATTCTTATTCAAGTAGTTACCACGATTAATTTTGGCAGCATTTGGGATGAGAAAACGTAATTCTTTAGCAAATTCTTTTAGTTTTGAGCTAGGAGAACGTGATGTAGTGATAACAACGCGTGGATCTTCAGTTCCAGCCCAGAGATACTCATCATCTTGATTAGTAGCAACTCCTAATGTAAATGGATTGTTAAGAACACATATAGAAAACTCAAACATAAGTACCTTCACCGCCATCATCACTCCAGTCTAATTCTTCATTTAACTGTAAAGCACCTTCTTGAATTTCTTTAGGTAGCATTTTCCCTTCAGCTAAGGCAGCTTTTAACATCTTTTTCTTCTTTTCGTTTTCAGCATCTCGAACTTCAATTGATCTTCTGTAAATAAATTCTCTGCGTAACCTGGCTTGACGTTTCAACTGAATGTAGACACACAGCATAATAAATAACACAAAAATAATAAGTTCCTGTTTATTTTTCGTAAGGAATAGCAATTATGTCAACAGTGGGATTTATCTAGCAGAATACTAAGGCTTGAAGACAACCTCAGTATAGTCATACTTATTTAAATTAAGAGGAATATATGAAATATTTCCGAATTTCTTTTTTGACACCAGTTCACTTCAAACTCTTGAAAAAACAGACATAATAGTAATTCAAACTGAAAACTACATTAATATGATGGGCAGGCGATGGGCCTAACGGTCGGGTTTTGATTTACTGTAGAGTGAGACCCACAGAATCGATTTCCTCAATCCCCTATAGCATCTAGTTAATTTTACTTTCCAGTTATCATTTTGTTTATAAGCGTATAATTTTTTAAAAGCAATTCTAGTGAGCAACTATCTTGTGTTCTGATATCAGCCTAACATATTTTCCACAGTAATTTATCTTTATCGATTTTCGTGATGAGTATTTACGCAGTCAACAGCTATATCTTTAGCCTCTTTCAGGGAGAGAAACTTTTGTTCCTTTACTTAATATTTTCTTTTATGTTCAATAAACAAATTAACAACAATACATCATAGGTTCACCCCAGAACCTCATATCCCATTGAGCCGCGTAATTTTGAAAGACAAAGCCTGTTCTGTTGCTGAAAAAAATCTGTATCTACGAAAAATACCAATTTACACGAAAGTTTTTATGTAATACAAAACTACAATGAAAAAAACTAGGTAGTTTGTACTGATTAGTAAAACAACAGAATGGATCCTCGGATAAGGCTGTTCTAACTTCTCAGCAGCGTAAATAAAAATTCGGAGTAAGAAATTTTCTACTTCAATGACTAATGATTTAAAATGTCTATTTTTACTTTACTCGCCTTTCATCATACGCCATCTTATTATGCTGTGCTGAGTTGTTGCACATACGGTGCAAAGCGATCAGTAACAACAAAATTTTAAAAAATGAGTTAGCTTTTGGTATTTGAGGCAGGTTGACTGATATTTCGTTTCTACAATGATCATTTACAGGTCAATGCTTCGGAAGGTTACATCTTCCAAAACATTAGAATTGGTAGATTAACTACCTATTTTCAAACCGTTTTACTTGGTCTATAAAGTTTTTATTCGAAAACATGTTAAAACCGAAATGCCCACCAAGAAAGAGGCTACAATAGTTTAGGAGATAAGGTTAGTAGTCGCCAAGACTCATTACTTAATACTGAACTACAAATAGAACGACGGCTGCGATAATTTCCAGGACCAAGAACCTATACATGTGGTTGTGATGAGGTCTTCCGTGTCAAACTTTTGATTAGGAAATATAATTCATAAAATAGTGAAACAACGTATTACATCATACTCATGCAGTGATCAGTGAACTAAAACTGGTTCATAAATCACTTTTCTTTTCAGAAGCGGCCTCACAACCACTCATAGTTTGGGACCTTCGTCTTCTAAAGTAGTTTTAGTGTCAAACAGTTTTGTTTGCGTGCACCTGTACGACGTATCCCATAAACATAGGTAACATAATATTCAACCAGCCAAAGATACTAATAGTTACAATACCACATTCAAAAGCTCCCTAATAATTCATAGCCATTCCAACAGTAGTTATACATCGGTCTTCATGAAAATGAACGTTTATCTACAATTTTAAAAGCCTGAACAGTGTAGCTTTAATGTATAATGCAGACTTAAGTGGACAGGGATCACTATCTTACAATTTTGGATACTCTCCTTGAGTTTAGATATCTGTATTAAATTGTTACAAAAAGAATTCTAGAAGCACTAACAAGTATTTATCGGAATATCTAATCATGTGAACCAAATTTCTACTACAAAACAATGGAACTTTCATCGTATGACAGTATCACATAAAATAATGCCTAAAATATAGACTTAAACATTGCTTGTTCGCTAACTTACAGAGAATGATACTAACAATGTTACGAAAAATATATATAAATTGGTTTAAACGGATTGTATTCAAAATCATAGGCGTTTCTGGTAACAATCAGTGGAAACTGTATTTATACGAACCGTCCACTAACTATCTCGTACATATAAAACCCATGTTTTAAATAAACTTTTGTTAGGGAATTTACTGACAGAATCTGACATTATATGAAATGTTAACAAGCAGCTCTTGCCAAAAGCAAACAGACAAAGAAATGTAATAAGTCACCAAAAAGATAAATGAAACTAGAAAAGTATGTTTCAATTATAATGGTTAGTTTTACGTACAGGATGGATCTAAATCCATAATAGTTTTGAGTTAGCACATAATTGAAATCTTTTAACAACAACGAATGCTCACTATGTATGGGCAGAATCTTAGTCATACTATACGCTAGGGCTAGATATATTATTTAGCTGGATTTGAAACCTCAATTTGGTAGTTGAAATTCAAATACCTTAGCCACTACACACAACCTGCATCAGCTTGGGCAGTATCATAGCCCTCACACAAATCAAATGAGATTTGTGTGGTGCATATGTATCTGGTGCCCCTTTGAACCAATATTCAAGTGTTTAAATAAATAAATAATAAGTCATGGAAATTGATTAATTTGGACACTAAAACTTATCTGAATAGCACAACTGAAACGAGAGAACCATGCTTAATGCTGTCATACTTGTGTAAAATGGAAGTTCCAAGTTGAATAAATACTTATCCTAACAACTTTAAAGCTGGTGGATATGGGATGTTATGTTTGTGTGAAGTAAATGACTTCATCTACATTACGTGAGACATTGCATGACCAGTTTATTTCAAGTTGTCTGATTATTGGTAGGCCGGTTTATATTTAAAAATACGTTAAAACTACTTCATTTTAACCAAACATATGTTTTCGACTGTTTTTTATGCAGTAAATTTTATGAAACAGACGTAGACATAAATCGAAACAAACGATACTTCTCAACAGAAATGCTATATTCATTGTTTACCGAACGAATCGCCCAGTAATTTTAGTTAGAACCACAATCGCTGATATCCTATAGTGTATGCCTGTATACGTGAATATAAGAAGTTTAGAAATGAAGACAATATACACATGATGTAGGAGTTATCAGATAATTTGTCATTCATTACCAACGTAGGACCTGATATGGATTTAAGTCAGTGACTTCACAGACTGATACTACGTCTTAATTTGTTTTCTTAATCCTATGTTAGCCAACACAGCACATAGAACTAGACGGTGGTTAAGGATAACTAGCGTCTCGACTGAAGTTATGGTTGGTAACTATATTCTGGCAGAATTGTGTGCGTTTATAATATATTTCTTTTAGAACCGATGCCATGAAAGTTTGGACATATGTATCTGAGCTGTGAGCAATCTTACAAACGGCTCAGATAAGACTTATAACCTCACGAGTGCTTTAAATTTAGTCTAAAAACTGTTACAATGTCCAGTAAACTCCTAATTTTAAGAAGTCTTATTCGTAAACTCTCAATATCTAAATGAATTCACACAGTACTTATGCAATAAGTATACTCTATCTTAATTTGTTGGTTGGAAACACATAATTTGGACCAGAACTATGTCACAGATAAAAGTCAAATAATCCCCAATCGCTCAGTATTATGAAAATACCACGCACTAGAAATAATATGAAAAGTTACGGTAATAATATTTAAGTCAGCGACCTACAGTTAACTCTTACCAATTTAGAAACAGAGAATGTTTATGATTTGTACTATTGGGCATTATGTATTTGAAGAGGCTGTCAACGGGAGAGCGGTGATTTTTTCGATAATTAGCGGTTTCCCTAAAATGTATGTTCAGTGTCACGAAGCCATATAGGATTCGTGCAGTACAACAATATCGCAGTAATCTAGTGAATTAGATGAGAGTCTAGTAAAAAATAAAGTGTCTGGGTCCTAAGAAGTTACGAAATTCACCACCAATCACCTACCAAAAAACATCAAAACAATGTGAATATTCTTGTTAGGGTTGAGATATCACTCAGTTTGTTGGAGAACCATAAATCACGGCAAAAAAACTGCACACGATTGTCGAATATATTTTTACTACTTTTTATCCTGTCCGTACTAGCACTGAATGCCGTTACTCTACATATTTTAAAATTTTTTATTTTGAACATATCACATCGGTACATGTATTTTATTGTTGAATGTAATGAGGCACCAACAGTAATGTCGCCAAGTATGGAAACAAGCTCACCATTTACGGTGCAGCACTTCAAAGTACCGGTTTATCTTAGAAGGTCGTTCAAGGTTCAAATGGTACAAATGGTTCAAATGGTTGAGGACGGAATAGAAGCTTTCGCTTAACAAGCTTCCGTGTCTAGTAGCAGTGGATCACCAATACCTCCAGGCAAAAATGTAGGTATGTTAACGATAATTGAGGAAAAAATAAATTGGTAAATCATAACGATATGTTATCCTTAGTCCTTAAGAATAAGTCAAGTTTCCTCCTAAAGGACTACTTGGAAGTCACTTGGACTAGCTCAGTTGGCAGCGAATTCCAGCATTTGTTAACACTTACGGATTAGAAGTTGTGTCTGCAGTCTGTCCTGCTATGTTGAGTCTCCAGTTTTTGGGTGTCACCTCTTAGGTTGGTGTTGTGACTAAGCTTAAGAAGATGTTTAAGGGGATGACCAGAAAACGCCAGAGTTTCTCTAGACAGAACTAGTGAACCAAGTATTTTGATTTGTTTTTCCGGAGAAATTTGAGAGCTGAGCAATAATAAAATCCCTGTCTTAAATTTTGGAGAAATGACAAAACAAAAGTATAGGTTTGCTACATTTTCCGAGAAAGAATAGGAAGCTGGATGAATCATGTTAGTCATCTCTTCGAGAGTCTCTCAGTTGATGCAGCTTCGATCACGTGTTAAGGTAAAGGGGTTCTGGGGGTCATTTATGCAAATACTGATCCCAATGTTATGCTATGTAGCATTCCAATTAGCATGGATCTCCGTGGGAAGACACGCTGACCTAAATCTTTCCTAAAGGTATCACAAAATATGACTCTAACGAACCTAAATTTCGTTAACATATACAAAGGAACTCTCCAGCTCTGGTAAAGCAGAGTGGACAGGTGAAATCTACGACATCAAATAAAGAAATACGTAGGATTCAACGCAACTTCTTTATAGCTGTTCCAGCAGTGGTAAACAGATTCTTTATATTCGTCACTGTGGATGATTGTGCCCATCAATATTTGTTAAAAGTTTGCGTCTACAGACCATAAGGTGCCGCCTGAGCAACGGATACACATTTTAATCAAGCATTCACATACTTGTCGTCATTACCTATGGCTAAGTTAATAGCTGGTGATTTTAATATGCCTTCCGTTATCTAGAATACATAACGTGGTCCCCCTCATTTTGAAAAATTCATTGAAGTGCTAGAAACAAACAGCTGGACACAGGTAGTCACAAAGATGCCACAAGTATCTGGAGTCTGACAACACGTTACCCATTAACACCTCCTATAACCGAAACGTGCCAACTCAGTGAAATCAGAAGTCAAGCGAAGAGATTCAAAGATATGTTTGAAAGACTATCGTTATTTTGAAAAGTAACTAATCTAAGCTGAGTAGCAGTTGTGAGAGAAGTTGAGAACAGCATACCCGTTCGTGATCTCGTGCGGATGCGTGACCGGCCTCCTTCAGCTAGATGAGTCTGTAGGATTATGGTCCACTTCGTTACTTGGGACTGCTCTAATAATAGACCTAATCCTAAAATTGTAGATATGTCATGATATGACTGCCTAATCTATAAGATCTTAGGTGGAAGTCACATCATTGTCTACACTGAACCATCGCACCGTAGTAATCACCAACATATGATGGAGAACACAATTAGGCTAGAGATAGAACAATATATTCAATATGAGCAAAAGAGATAAGTCACACAAGAATGACCATGTCTGCAAGTCAGAACCATGCAACCCAATGAATTGGATTAGTTGAATTAACTCTTCCCGCCTTCTCCACTGCTGGTTTTCGTCTGCGTTAACTGTTGAATAACTATTTTCCAAGTTGTCTCGTGTTCAGCTTTGAGGGTTGTGTGGTTGCGGCTCAATGCCACTTTGCTTAAACAACTTTGTTCAGTATCAAACGTCAAAGACTTACAAAACTATTGATTTTGGGGATTTATTTTACCGGCACAATCAATAGGCCCATCAAGAAGCTAATGCCTTAACATATACTGAATATATTATTCTTGAATTTCCAAGCAATGAAATTTGAAAGTGCTAACATTTTTTACGTGGTTTAGAAATTCTTCGACTTTTCCTTTGTAGGCTGTATTATTCTTAGATTATCATCCTATCTCGTATATCGGTTACACTTTACCCCAGGAAAATCATTTTGACGGACACTTATCTTATATAAGACCACAGCAATTGACATTGACGCGTCTTTATCTTTGGGTTATTGTTATATCTAGAGCCTTGATTCTTAATATACCGCGAACTACTTGACTACTTGAACGATAGAACCTGCAACGTCGCAAAAAGAGAGAAGACAAAGACTGGTAAGCAGGAAGTTTATTGCCCCGAACAATGTCAAAATATAGCACAGAAATCTCGTGTATTTATAGTTATTGGCTGAAAATAAATTATCATTTAGGTCAACCAATAAGCACATAGGTATCAAACTAATCCATCCAATGGAGAAGCTCCACGCTGGCATTTCTAGAACATTCCCCTAGCCGTGATTGGATGGAATGTCTGCGGCTCTTCCTGGGCTTCTTAGGGCTTCCGAGAGTCTACCGACGGGCCGTCCTTACACCTCCCCCCTTTGAAGTTTGTGGTGTATGACTTTCTTTTGGATTTTCTTGAAGCATTGTTGTTGTTCTCGTTTTTCTGTTCATCACCCTTGTCGGCTGAATGCTCTCACTCTTAAGTTTTTCTAGTCGTTGGTTACGGCCTTCTTTCGGGTCTTTCTCCACCAGAATGTGGAACGGTACTTGTGTATCTACTGCTGCTGTTCTATGATTCCTTTTTATCTGATTCATATGTCTGGTACATTTTCCGTCCCTTCCACGGACTAAATAAAGTACTTTCCCGATACGCTGTACTATGACACCTGGTTCCCATTTCTGACCGCCTTGATACTTTACAAGTACTTTTTCGCCGCGGTCGTTCGTCTGATACTCTTGTACAGGTTTTCTTCTTTTCTTGGGTGGCGATTTTTTTTCGAATATCCATGGGTTCTTTGCCTGAACTTCTGATTCACCTTCTCCTGCGGCAATGAGTACGTCTTCTCCATGTTTTGCCTGGGGACCAATCAGCCTTGAGAGTGCATCAGATCTTACCGGACTACATATATGATTAATTGGCTGGTTAGCCGACTGCAACATTTCTATTAGGTCAAGGCCAAGCAAATCTAGTCCTGGACTTCCTGTGAGATATACTTTCACATTCTTCTGTACATTCCCTTTTTTAACTGGACAGAATATCTCTCCAACAATATTTAACTTTCCTCCAGATGCACTGTGTGCTAACTGAGTTGTAGGGAGTACCGAGGGTTTGCCAATATGACTCCATGTTTTGCGGCTGATAAGTGAAATATCTAAAGCAGTGTCAAGCTGTAGACGAGCACGGCGCCCATTAATGTCTAAGGTCACATATTTTCTTCGATTAAGTTCTGTTCTGGTATGTGCTACCATTATTCTATTGATTGATGAACAGTTTTCACGTCTTCGGAAATGTACAATTGATGAACGACGGTGCATCTTCTTCTTACAACATGTTTCTTTATGTCCTTTGAGCTGACATCTAGTGCACCGGTAGTTTTTGTATGGGCAGAACCTTTTGTAATGCAGCTCTCCGCAAAACCAACATGCGGATGGATGCTTCTTAATGGTTGCGTTCTGTTTTTGCATATAGGAATCTTTCTTCCCACTTACTGCCTGTACATAAGGTAGTCGACCATTATTCTCTACCATTGAAGTGTCATGCTTCAAGTTCACCAGACGCTGACATTCAGTAGTCACCTCTTGAAGGGTGATATTTGGACACTGTTCAATTTTACTTAGAATTCTGGTTCTGATGTCGGCATCTTCTGAACACTGTAAGCTGCATACGAAAACAAGACATTTGAATTGGTCTTCTGTCATTGCTGATAGTTTAAAGCGCTCACATTCACGATTTGCTATGCCAGCATGTTGCACCCAGTCATCGTTGCCAGCTTTTACTATCTTTAGGCACTGATATCGAATATTGAACAAAGAAGACTGTTCACCGAAAATTTGCGACAAAATTTTAACTGTTTCTTCGAATGAAATGTCTCTTGGGTTCTTGGGCAGAATGTAATTAGTGTATCGTTCATGTTCAATGGTCCCCAGCTTTCGTAGTAGCACTCTGACCTTGGCGGCATCATCAAACGCTTCTAGGTCAACATTAAATACATCTTCATATTTCTTGTACCAAGATTCGAATGTTACACCAGCCAAACCATCAAAATGAAATTCGTGAATGGAATCAATGATACAATCAGCATGCGATTTAGCAGAAGCATCTGTAAGTCCATTCTTATTGAGGTTCATTTGCTGCGTTATTGTTTCAAGTATGCGAATCTGGAATTGTTCAAAGCGTTTTTCATGGCGCTCTAGAAAAGCTTGAAATTGGTCAAAGGTAATAGTCATCTTGATAAATTAACCCGTCGCCAGTTGTTATATCTAGAGCCTTGATTCTTAATATACCGCGAACTACTTGACTACTTGAACGATAGAACCTGCAACGTCGCAAAAAGAGAGAAGACAAAGACTGGTAAGCAGGAAGTTTATTGCCCCGAACAATGTCAAAATATAGCACAGAAATCTCGTGTATTTATAGTTATTGGCTGAAAATAAATTATCATTTAGGTCAACCAATAAGCACATAGGTATCAAACTAATCCATCCAATGGAGAAGCTCCACGCTGGCATTTCTAGAACATTCCCCTAGCCGTGATTGGATGGAATGTCTGCGGCTCTTCCTGGGCTTCTTAGGGCTTCCGAGAGTCTACCGACGGGCCGTCCTTACAGTTATACTAATTGAAGTATAGATTTTCCGCTGACCAGTACTTTCTTACGTTATAGCTTAAAACCTTATATCTAACATACTTTATATACTCCTAGTCTCTGATCTTATTAATAACCTGGTTAATACGTAATAATAACTGTATATTCAGATATGACATTCTAGTTAGACAAGCTATTTACTCACCCAGCTTCAAATTATGGCAAGTAACTCTGATAGAAATGGAAATTTCGCAAACTTTCGAGCT